TTACAACCCAAGCTGCCAGCTTTGGGGAAATTTTGGGGAATTTTGGGGAAATTTTGGGGAAATCCCCAAAGTGAAATAGCCTTCCCCAAAGTTTGGGGAAAGTTTGGGGTATTTTGGGGACATTCTGGGGAAATTTTGGGTTTTTTTCTCATTTCCCCAAAATTTCCCCAAAATTTATTATAGCGGCTTCCCCAAAATTTCCCCAAAATGGACTCAATTTTCCCCAAAGTTGGAAGCCTGGGGAATCAGAAGAAATAAAAAGTTTTCCCGAAGTAGTCAGAGAATCCGTTCCCCCAAATATGAAGTTCGCACAGGCAGGAAATCCAAATCGAATTCAAGATTACCCTAATGGGTATGCATATTTTCCACCTAGTTGTTTCGCAGGTGAATCAAGACTAGATGAATCACATGTGTTAATCACATATATTAGTGTATATTTATATCACAACGGAAACAATCGCCTTTGTATTCTAACCCGAAAAACAGGAGGTAAATGCATAATATTAATTATGTAAGTCGGCGTCACGTGATGCGGTGCTTCAAATTATATGTCAGTGTATCCCACATATAATGATCGAAACACGAGATATGAGAAGATAATGTAAATCGGGAACCTCAAACTGGCCATTACATTGCAACTTAAGGACCCGACACTATTTCATTGGGTAGGATAGTGTTTGAAAGTTCATGGTTCAAATTCTAGATATCAGTAGTTTCAGTACACAACCGACATGGTGACTGTATACAATTCCAAGAATCAAGTGAGTCTGCTCCCGTGTTGGTTGTTAATTATAATACTAATGAATATACTTTAGATAATACAGAGTCCACATCAAGAACACAGTCGGACGGACACATAATAAACCTAAGAAGAAGAGGTGCAATTGATTGAAAAAATTTGTATCCTCGTTTAAGCTGTGATGGATGTGTTGCTTGAATGAATTTATGATTCCTTTGTACTTGATAACTGCCCGATTTCAAAAACTAGATACAATACTTACAGTTGTTCTCATTTAGGTCTACCTGGCCTAAATTGTGTTATTTCGGGAATTCCTAGTTAGTACAATAATTCTAATTATCACAGAATTCTACAAGGCAGCAATAACTGAAAGTCATCATAACTTGCTGGTATATCTCACAGGGAAATTAAAATTCGTATTGTATCCCCATCTAAATAGAAGTTACTTGGATAGAAACTGATGGGAAAAGTACTAGATAACCCAGATTTTGTACTAGGAAATGGTGGCAAAAACCATAGTACTTACACTATCGACTACGTACAAACTTTATTTAAGAACACAGTGGAACAAACTGGCGGTGAAGAAAAATGAGGAAAAATATCTACTTATTATTCTTAAAATGAACGGGTACCCACACAACTTCATCAAAAAATATTAACCAATTCATCAGCAGAGACCAAACGTAACACAAAAATTAGCGAACATATCATCCTGCCGTATATAAGAGACATATCGAAACTTGCGACGAGATTATTTAAGCTGTCTTGAATACGTGTAGCATATAAACCGCAAAGGCCACTTCAATAGATCCTATTAGACTGTGAAAATGTTAAAATCCTGGAAAGAGTTAATAATAAGAACACTAGAGAACTTTAGAATAGTGCAATATACTACAAGTCAAGAGGGATGATTGTTCCTAAAGTGTAAGCGATAATTGGCATTAAACTGGAAGAGTAAATAATGACATGTGTATTAGAAAAGTTACTTATATCTGACTGAGTTGAGACTTAAGTGCTCACCCTGTAATAAACCAACCTGCTGGATGACGCACCTTATTCTGATTTCGAATAAAACGAAGAACTCACACACTAATATTTCGTCATTTTGAGACGTTTTAATTTAGAACCAAATCCGCTATTGTTAAACTCGATTAAAACTAAGTCGATTCGGCAAGGTTGAAATAGTTTTATCAGAATAATTTCAGAATTAGACTTCTTTATGGTTGATATATACACATAGAGTTGTAATCACCCGCAAATATGTTTGGATAAAATAGCACTAGAAATAAAATATGAAGCAAATGTATTCAGGTGAAGTGCAATCAGCATTATACTGGTCTAATTTTAATTGTTTAGAAATGAATTCAAAGTGTGCAGGATATTACATTTTCAAGTTATCTAATTGTATTGTAGTTAGTAATTACGTTCATGTTTACTATCATCCAGTCACTTAATCACAGATACTTTGGGATAACTTCCTCTACACAGTTAATCGGAGTCATGACTTTGCTGTCGTGATTTTTCTTCTATCACGACTGACTGCGCCGCAACTGACATGTCCGTGGCATGATGAAATGGTATTTTCATAGTAGAAAACTGTATTTTTCTTGTAGGTCAGCAAGATCTTCAGAGAACGAAACACGTTCTTCATGAATTGCGATAACGAAAATAATAAATCCCGCCCTAATGTGACCGGTTGACAGGTTCAAAGTCAAAATCAAGAGCGGAGCTCAATCCGGTCATCAGTTGGCAAGCGTGTTTCAAAATTTAATGGATCAATATAATACGAGTATACTATCGACAGGTGAATGGGTTAAAACAAAGAAATATCGAGAGGATAAGCATATTGGGAAAACAAATTAGTCAGACAACCGAGCACAAGTCAAGCAATCGAATTAATGGATTTGAGAGTAGCATGCTTGGTCAGACTTAATGATCCAAAACGGGTATACAATAATGAATTTAGCATGCGTGGTATTTGAACGAACTAATGGTTCATTTGCACTCAAGTGCCCGCATATTATGAATTTCAAATATCAGACGCTCATTTGTGCTTATATATTCCTGACTTATTTATTTATTCATTCGAACACAGACATTGGTACAAGGGGGCACCAGATACATATGCGCCACACAAATCTCATTTGATTTGTGTGAGGGCTGTGATATTGCCCGGGTGCCCAAACCGAAGCTGACTTAAATTGCGTTGATTTGGGGATCCTTCTAATTATCATGTACGTCTTTATCTAACACTGCATATGTTTCAAAAATAACTGAGAACCCTGTATTTAACAATATATTTAATGAGATAAGAGTCGATAAAATTCTAGAACAAGTGGGTATTCCTAACAAGTATACAAAATTCAGGTTTTGCGGATTCTGCACGCCACATTACCTGGGCTATTCCTAAAGAGAACCGTCATGATGTCTGATAACGTTACTTTAATTTAGAAATCATAGTGAGAGAAGGACCACACGTTAACAGTACCAAAAAAGCTATCGTGCTTAAGACTCATCGCACATCACTATTCATTCATGTACAATGCATTATTAAAATGTAAGCTCTTCATCTCATGAAACCCTTAAGTCCACGCTTTCAACTACTAGTTCTTCTCATTTCGTAACTTAGTAACCTTTTTATGGGAGGCTGGGATTTCTCGACCTGGAACTTTTTTATGCTAAAGACTTTATGGCGATTTCTGACATATCTTTTAAATTAGGCAGCTAATGTAAACTATGTTAATTCTGTCCAACAGTCGACGATACGATGTTTGCCATGGACCAGGGGTTTAGGAAAACGGGAATAGCTCAAAGTAATAAACCCAGTGCTATTCAATTCCCAGTTATCAAATTCTACAGTGAGCTGTAGGTTTGCCGTTAATGACTAGTAATCAACATGGGATAAAAACCAACGGACTAAATATACATATTGGAATTCTCAATTACGCAATCCCTCACTGTTTTAAAGACATGAAGATATAGTTTGAAATCGGTAATATCGGATTAGATTAAGAGAGTAAAAATTGACTCTCACTAGAGAGAATTAGTGGACTACTTACGAGTCAGAAATCCAAGAATCAGGAAAACAACAACTAAGGATTCTTATGTTTATTTCTGAACTGTGTTTATAAACAGGACTAAAAATCTACATACAGAATATATTGATATCAAATACCTAGGATTGCTGCAATGAACTAATACTCGTGATCTGTCAACATGACAATATATTTAGTCAAGAAACTAGTGATTCTCCAGAAAGATAACTCACAAGTTGTATACAGGAATGTGACTGTCGTGCTTATAATACATGTTGTGACCTCCTCATGATGGATATTCTAGTTTCACTAAAGGTCAAATTAATTTCAACAGCATAGAATGGACACTACAGAATCCGTAAATTTCTCACACTCATCAGTCTGAACTGCGATAAGGAAGTACACGCACTGAATTTGTTCCAAGCCGGTTTATTATTCACTTGCTAATTCTAAAGAAAATATTTTTTACATCATTTACAGAAGCAGGTATTGCACCATCATCGACTTTATGAAGTGTACAGCTACAAAAGTACAATACCAAACAATAACAATACAGATTTATCAAAAATTCCTATAAAAAACAATGGATCAAGATTAAATAACATATATCCAAAGGGTGAAAGTATTAGAGAATGAACACTGAGTTTTTAAATGACTATAGATTTCATGAAATTTAACTAACAAAAAAACAAATAATTTCTTCATCCTATCTGATAACCAAATAACTTGACAGAGAAACTGATTGCAGGGGTGTCCATAACGAACATATTACTGATGCTATGTGATCATTAGGTTGAAAGCATTCCCCACCACTGTACACAAAAAAGAACAGATATTCATTCCACTATAATCCTTAACCGAAGAATTATGACAATCTGTCACTATAATGCAGGGTAATGCAAGGATGCACAATCCGGAGACTAACAAACACTCTGCAATAGAAATGATATCACCAAACAAATCAACGCCACATGATATATGATACCACTTACAGAAGCAATTAATGATCAGTAGTATCTCCCATCTTCAATAAAAGAATATTTCAAAAAATCCAGAGAAGCCAATTTCCATTAGTTTCTTTTAAAATGACTGCTTTAGCAACTAACTCATAATGTACAAAAATATGAATAAGGTCAGTGGAAACAATTCTATGTACATTTTCTTAAAGAGTATAAAAGATTTGTACGCTAGAAATTGTTTTGTTTGGTTATTTATCGTTTGGCCGGCTAACTAGCTACCCCAGGTAGTACTTCCGACTTTTGTGTATCATTATATTCTGGAGTTGTGATTCCTGGAATATGAAATTTAGCTTTTTTGGCTTCGAAGAAAGTATAATTTAATACGATTTCTGAACATCGTTTTAACCGCCAATCTGAACTAATTTCCGGATCAAGGAAGAAAAATACAGGCAGGTCAACCTGGAAAAGAAATATGTAAAAATAATAATTGGTAAATCTTTTGACTGAATACTCGAATAGGTTTCCTAAGCTCTCCTAATAACCGCAGGCTAACTCTACACAACTTAAACACGAGAAAATGCGCGAAATATGGAAAGAAAGCTTTACTACAAGGTTAGTTTATGTACAAAAATTGAGGGCATTTATAGCATTTCAGACGACCTTAGGCTTCTGGAAAGTTCTGGAACCCTACTTAACATAGGATAGGTAACCACCCAATCAGAAATGTGACGCGTAACTCTTCACTTCTTAGATGTTTCCGAAAAACTCCTATTCAATGCCCATTGGATAAAATGTTTCCCTGTGCTTTCAGGGCCCCTTTGGGTTTTCTTCGAGGAATTTTCTGGGTCCCTCCAATAATAATAATAATAATAATAATATGCACACTGAAAATATTCAAGGTACGATGTATAAATTTGGCCAGACACTACCAACAACCACCTACTGTGGCAGTGAACAAGCCAGATTCTAGTTGAAGTGCAAATTAGGAAAAGGCTCTGGAGGTGGATAGGATACACATTGCGGAAGTCTTAATAGTGCATCACAAGAAAAGTCCTAACTTGGAATCCTCAAAGCAAAGGGAAAAGAGGAAGACCAAAGAACAAGTTTCACAGGGAATTGGTGGCAGACATCAAAAGGATGGAAAGAACCTAAGACAGAATGAGTTGAAGATTGCTGGTTAGTAACCTATGGTCCACGAGGCATAATGGGTAAGTAAGCAAGTAAGTATAATGGTATAAAACTATCAATTGTTTTCGTATTGAATGATGAGATAAACATTTATTTAACATCAACTTTAAAAAAAACAAGGTTTCGTCCATAGTACTACTAATTCCAACACTTAGCAACGGCAGAGATGAACAGGTGAATTTCAGACGATTTAATTGCAAGACCAGTATGTTAGGCTTTGAGACATACCTTTTTCTCTAACACAGGGGGTTTCTCAAACCAAAGTGGGCGACGATGGGGTTCGAAACTTAATGTAAACAAAATTCATTGATTGTGATTAGCAGTGTAATCTAGAACGAACGTTCTGTCTCATTTAGGACGCATCATCTGAATGTACCTGCACTCCAGTGTTGGTATTCACATATAGACTGGAATCTAGTGATTGCAACCACTTGTCCATTGAGTTATTGACACTAGATAGCTATTAACTTTATTAACAGGTAGGACTTTTATATCACTATTAGTAGTGACTTGAATTACCTCACTGTTGATATGCTATTGGATATGTGCCATCACTTATCTTCATGATGATTTAGCAATCAAATTAAGAATTCGATAAAATATCTCTCAACAACATACCCTTTCCCCTCCTCACCCTTCTCTCATCAAATACACGGACTCTGACTTGTTTCATATATTTAAAAGACTTTTCTCGTAAAACGATAGTGAACGCTTACCTTTTCGTGAGGATTAAGACGTTGCTCTTCGAAACAGAAACACTAAATGAAATACGGTGTGAAAAAAAATGAAAGACAAAAGAAAATTTTAAAAACAAGGTTATAATTAGTAGTGTTATAGTACATAATTTAAATTTACATATTAATGGTTCGCTCACTTATAAAGTCAATATAGTAATTATAATAAGGCAGAACTCAGTAGCTAAATGTAACTGGATTTATCTTAAAAGTTGTAATTAGCTAAGTTTACTGTATACCATTAAATTATAATATAATGCAGATATTGAGACAGCAGTACATATAATGTGACTAGCTTTAGTTGAAATGTACAAGTTCCCGTACTCAGTTTTGAGAGATATTATTTATGTTTGAGATGAGTTAACGAAACTACCTGGCAACTTAATAGAATTGGAAGGGCGGTTTGAACATGCGACCTACTACTCGGTTGAAAACTGAACGATTCACCTATCAAAGAAATTGTTCTGAAGTGGAATTGATTAGTACATACGAATTAATCCTACTGGAGTTATGTTCATACATAAATAATGGTGACAACATCCGCTGTAAGATGATTGGATAAATCTTACGGACTTCGTCCCAGCAGCTTTCATGCCAAATATTATTTGTTGACAGTATGACTTGGTTGAAGAAGTGGAGAAGTGACTAGTCTATAAATATGAAATATAACCGTAAAGAACTTAAACCAGTTGGCCTATCAGAAGTCCCATGATATTTCATATCTTAAAGATTATACAACTCATTGGACTTAAGACGTCATCAGAAACATCTCAGAATGAAAGTGAGCAACAATGTTAGCTGAAATTCTTTCAATTACTCCCAAATGCCCTGGTACGGTCAAGGGTATGGAGATTTGGCGCTTCTCAAAATGCTCTCATATGGCCACATATTGCCCCCTGAATGCCCTGGTACGGCCGAGAGTGGGGAGAGTCCGCTCTCCCTCTCGAAATACTCTCACACGGCCACGCGTATACAGCCTCTGCCAGGGAAGTCCTACTCATTGCCTTCTCACACCACGGGTGTTGTTTACGAAAATGAGAGGACGAAAAGCGAATGTCCGGCGCTTTAACCGGATTCCAAATCAATGGTGCACATGGGCTCCAGTATCCTGCGGGAACGAATGGCGTATGAACCAATCGTTGGTCACCGGCTACCATGGGACTGCATCTCCTTACGATGCTCCACTGCCTTGTGGGTTAGACCTTTAGGTCAAAGGCTCGGGGAGTGGCCCCCTAAGATAACCACCTGCTTCGGTTTGGGCACCCGGGCAGTATCACAGCCCACACACAAATGATGAACTCTTTATGTCTATGGAAATTACTTTTGTCGCTTTGAAAAACAAACAATTGATTCAGATTATTATCATTACAATTATTGTCATTATTAATACTAATATTATTATTACTACTATTTTTGTCATTATTGTTATTATTATCATTATTATTATTATTTTCCACATTATTCACCCTCTTTTATACTTATACAGCGGCTCGTCTTTGGTGGAATTCCGACTGTATCTAAACGTTCTCGAGTCACTGTCCGGTTGAAAATTGTATGTTACCACCGAATACGAGGACTGAAGCAGATTTTCTGAAACCACGTGCATCATTCAAACTGGCTGCCTTCAACGTTCGCACATTTATGCAGGTCGGACAACAGATAGGGCTAGCTATGTCTTTGGAAAGTCTTAATATCGACGTGTGTTGTCTATCCGAGACCCGTATTCAAGACTCTGGCGAAGTACTACAAATTCGATCTCCATCTGTCGCTTCGAAAAGCTTGTTTTACGTGCGCTTATCCGGGGACCCTGTGGCATCTTCGTCTGGTCTTGCTGGCGTTGGTGTCGCACTAAGCGCTACAGCTGAGGCAGCACTAGTCGATTGGATCCCCATTAACAGTCGGTTATGTGCTGTTAGATTAGAAAGTTCCATCAAAGTGAGAAGAAATCGGCGTGAGAAAAGATGTCTTTTCGTCATCTCCGCCTATGCCCCGACAGATTGCAGCCCGGATGCAATCAAGGATGAGTTTTACCACCAGTTATCTGTTCTTCTCCAGAAAGTGGGTTCGACAGATATTGTAGTACTAGCCGGAGACTTGAATGCTCAGGTCGGGCGTCTAGGCACAGAAGAGAGTCGTTTAGGTGGCCGATGGGGACTCGTTGGTCGCAGGTCAGATAACGGTGACCGTCTACTGCAACTGTGCACAGACCACAACCTGTTTCTGGCTAGCACTAACTTTCGGCACAGTCATCGCCGATGTGCCACCTGGCGTCCTCCCTCTGCATCTCAAGCCTGGACTCAGATTGATCACATCGCGATCAGCTACCGCTGGCGTGGTTGTGTACAAGACTGCCGCTCCTTTTGGAGTACCTATCTGGACTCTGACCATGCCTTGGTCTGCGCCAATCTTGCCTTACTTTTCAGTGGACAACGAAGTGAACGCCATCAACGGATTGATGTTAGCAAGCTGGTTGCAACTTCTGTTGCAAGTAAGTATCGAACTGAGCTAGCCTCTAGGCTAGCTACCACTCCACCGAAAAGTATAGATGAGCATTGGTTGCAATTGCATGACGCCATGAAAATGGCGGGAACAGTCAGTTGTGGGTTTGCGAAACGTCCCGCTTTTAAGCACTGGGTTTCTGCAGGTTCCTTACAACTCATTGAAGCCCGTCGGTCTACTCCGGGTGACCGTGAGTTTGACCATAAACGAAGGATGCTATGTAAGGAAATCGGGCAAAGCTTGCGTAAGGACCGAGAAGCCTGGTGGTCGATGCGTGCTAATGAGCTGGAAGCAGCAGCTGCATCTGGTAACTACCGGAAGCTCTTCCAACTCATCCGAGCCACTGGCAGCAAGAAGTCTGGTGTGAGTGAAACAATCTGCGAGGATGATGGGATGCCAATCACTAACATCCATCGACGTCTTGGACGATGGGCAGAATTTTTCGAAGGCCAGTTGAACTGGCCTGCTGCTCCGGCAACATCGGTCAGACTGTCCTGCCCTCCATGGCCGGTGACGACTGATCCACCAAATGAGGAGGAAGTCCGCAAGGAACTCCAACTCTTGAAGCGTTACAAATCACCTGGCCCAGATGACTTACCTCCGGCTCTTTTTAAAGATGGTGGTGACTTTTTGACTAAGGAATTGACGACGTTGTTTACAAAGGTTTGGGAACTAGAGAGTGTACCAACGTCATGGAATGAGTCGATAGTTGTCCCTATCTTTAAAAAGGGTTCACGTCGTTCTTGTAACAACTATCAGGGGATAAGTCTACTTCCGATTGAGTCCAAGCTATTGGCTTCCGTCATTCTTCGTAGGTTGTTCAAAACACGAGAAAGATTGACTCGCGAAGAGCAGGCTGGTTTTCGTTCTGGTCGAGGATGTATTGATCATATCTTCACCCTCCGCCAAATGTTAGAACACCGCCATACTTTTCAAAGGCCAACAATCGTAGTGTTTCTTGACATCAGGGCTGCCTTCGATTCGTTGGATAGGACTGTTCTCTGGGATTGTCTATTGAAGAAGGGTGTGCCTGAGAAGTTTATTAACATCCTAAAAGCCCTGTATAAAAACACCTCAGGCAGAGTGAGGGCATACAACCACCTCTCTCCATTGTTCCATTCGAGCAGTGGGGTTAGGCAGGGTTGCCCAATCTCACCATTCCTCTTCAACTTTGCCATCGATGACATTCTGGAAACAGCTCTGATGAATGTAAGTAATGGTGGTGTGGATCTGTTGCCTGGAGAAAGACTTCTCGACCTTGAGTATGCGGACGATATTGTCTTACTGTGCGATATCCGCACTTAATCAGTTGGCAATCAATGTCCGTAGGTATGGTATGTGCTTTGCACCTTCGAAGTGCAAAGTACTTCTACAAGACTGGCAGGATTCTAATCCTGTACTCACCCTGGACGGTGAGCAGATAGACGTAGTTGAGAAGTTCGTGTATCTGGGTAGCTGCATAAGTGCTGGTGGGGGTGTGAGTGATGAGATCAATGCACGAATAGTGAAAGCCAGATCGGCTTATGCCAATCTGGGCCATCTATGGCGCCTTCGTGATGTTAGTCTGGCTGTAAAAGGTCGCATCTACAACGCGTCGGTGAGAGCAGTTTTGCTCTATGCTTGTGAAACCTGGCCTCTCCGAGTTGAGGACGTTAGACGACTCTCTGTGTTCGATCATCGCTGTCTCCGAAGGATTGCTGACATTCAGTGGCAACACCATGTCAGTAATGCAGAGGTTCGGCATCGTGTGTTCGGGCACAGAGATGATAACTCAATTGGTGTCACCATCTTGAAACACCGACTTCGGTGGCTTGGACATGTTCTCCGAATGTCGTCCCAGAGAATTCCACGTCGTGCATTATTTGCCGACTCTGGGACTGGTTGGAAGAAGCGGAGAGGTGGTCAGTGCATGACATGGTGTCGTGGCATGAAAGAAAGCTGCAAAGGACTGGCTTGTGTTGGTCCTTCACGACTCCCTGGCTGGGGTCCGAGAGATGGTGCTACACAGTGGCTAGAGACGTTATCAGATATGGCTCAGAATAGAAGCCAGTGGCGATCCTGCTGTAACCTTCTTTTACTTTCTTCATAAAAAGTGGTTGTGTCTCCTTTACCTGAAAGATTTCTTCTGATTGTACCTCTTCGTCATTACTCTCTTTTTCTTTTGCGTTCCTTAGTTGTTTTTTTTCTTTCTACTTCTCTTCGAATTCCCATTGTTTTGTGTGGCGCATATATATTGGCGCTCTCTTGTACCAATATTTATGTGTTCAAATAAATAAATAAATAATAATAAACATGTATATAACCACTGCTAGAGATGTCATACTCACTGCTTCTGGAGGCAAGGAAGCTGTTTACGAAATTAAGAAGACGGAAAGCAAACATCCGACGCTTAAAACAGGTTGGTGGGTACGAAGGATCAACCTAGGGAAGTTGGATAATCAAACCAATGGTGCACATGGGCTCTAGGATACTGAAGGAAAAATGGAGTGTGAAATTAATCTTAGTCACTGGGCACCATGGTACCCCTATCCCTTAACATCGCCCCATTGCTTTGTGGATTAGATCTCTAGGTTAAAAGCTAAGAGAGTGGCTCCCTAAAAAACCACCTGCATCGGTTTAGGCAACTGGACAGTAACCCAGCCCTTACACAAACTTTTCGTGGCGCATAGAGGCGGTCTGCTTGAATATCTAAGCTACTTACTCCTATCATTTGGATATTTCAACAAGTTATCTTTATACTTGTTTGTTTTAACACATCATTTTGCCTATTAGTCTCATAGCCTATTCAGATGTGTTTGTGAAAAGTTTACGACGTTTCGCTGTACAAGTTATAAAAGAGCCCAATCAAAGACATTTTGTTTGCTGGCTATATGCACGGACTCTTTTAAAAGTCCCATTCCTTATCGGAGAATATTCAGGTTTAGATTTTAATTTTCAAGTTACTGTAAGTATGAGAGCCATTATTACTAAACCGGTATCCAACTTGAACAATATAGAAATAAAGTTTGAACCCGTAGTCCTTTTTGATTGAAAAGCAAACCGTTAAAAACAAGAAGCCATTTGCTCCGGGACTCGAACCCAGTGCCGTCCTGTGCGTATAGAATGCGCATATGTCAATAAGATAATGATCAGTTGCAGTCCAAAACGTCAATGGGAAGGTTCAAACAACCAATACAAATGAATTGAGCTTTACTACATTACATGAGCTAGTAGCTATGTGAACTCAGCAGCTAAGCAGAGATAATGCGAATGGTACAGGGTTCGAGTCCTAGAGTGAACATCAACTCTGGAATGCAGATGTACATCCAGTTGACAAGTATCAAATAGAACAGAACGCGCATCTTGAATTCCAATGCTAGCTACCGTCCATCTCTGCTTATAATTAATTAATTATACAAAAAAACGAATAACCTACTTGTATTTTATGAAAATATTTCGATGCTTCAAATGGTACAACAGAATAAGTAGCAATGCCAACAATAGGTTTATCAGTTGGATTCTCAGCTGTATAAAATGCCAGTGCTGTTTCCCCAGGTACGATTCTTAACTACAAAGGTTTTTTCGTTATTTTTTTTTTGGTAAATAAACACAAATTGTCACATAGAAATCTATATAAAATATACACAAATAATTTTGCTACAATTTAAGACTCCAATATAAACGATGATTTACTTTGTTTAAGATGGATCTGTTCAACACTAAGGGGGATTCATGTAAACAATCGGCTATTTTTCCCTACACTTGTACAGTATGAACATTGGGTCTGACGAATTGGTAGTTAACCATTGACATCTCGAGCTCAGAATTTTCCGACTTTATATACTGTGTTTTATTAAAACAAACATTTTTGTCTTTGACATCATGAACCGATCTAAGTTAGACCACCGTTGAAAACCTAAGAGCATTGGACAGCCGTTTCGTCTTAGTATGCAACTCCTCAATAGGAATGAGAATACACAATCCCGTACGCAGGACTCAAACTCAGAACCTTAGGTCTTGCGTGCGAACACTCAGCCTCTAGACCACTGAACCGGCATCCAACTATGTTAATTGGAGGCATCTACCCACCGAAGACAATGGAAGATGGTCGCGAGGTATTGCAGATTGATTAAAGTTAGACATTCACACTGCTGGATATCGGCTCAGCGGTTTGAAGGTTAAGATTTTGCGTGCGAGATCACAGGCTCTGAGTTCGAGCCCCATGTGTGGGGTCATGAATGTTCGCTCTTAGTGAGGAGTCTTATACTAGAAGGAAACAGCCTTCCAATGTTTCCAGATTTCCAATAATGGTCTAACTTAGATTGGTTTATAATTTCAACATTTTCCACACTGAAAGCATTTATATGCCAGATAATTATTTCTGTTGATTATTGGAGATATCTGTAGAAATAAAAATAACTTCACAAATTTTCATTTGTATTTCTTTTTTATAAACTGTTCAATTATATCTTCGTGATGTCCCATGTAAACAACTGATCATTTTCTGTATGTATTGCTTATATGTATTAATTTTATTTGTACTTAAATTAACCACTAATTACATTCATTTCTGATGTTCACTTTGCATGCTAAATACAATTTGTGATTAATTCATCTTCTGTTTTCTTAAGTTTGTTCGTGAATTTTCATATTAAATAAGTAACTGGCACATATATACGTTTTGGGATAAACTACACTATGTAGGATAATTGTTCATATTTTATCTTCGACGTACAGATGAGTGACATAATATCAAATATCTGCTGATATTAAGGAGTTTTTGAACATTTCGCAAATTCAGTGAACTCATAGTGTTCACATTCAGGACTATCAAGTAAAATTAGTTTCTCTATTCAGTGTGGTGATTTTATTGAGGTGACATATATTTTCTCCTTATTTACATTCTCTTTTTATCCACGTGTACTATAACGTTAGGATTCGCGTTTACTTTAAATAGTCCTTGATTTCGATTACTACATCTGCACGTGAAATGGCGTGACGAACATCTGCTACAATGAACATTCATTTAAAATTATGTCATGAACTGAAGTCTAAAAGTGAATATTTGCCCACAAAAATATTTTATTTCATGGCCTGGAGTGACTTCCAAGGTCTTATCTCCCATGCCAGCTAGGTTCTCTAGATCTAACGGCTAGCTGGGTGCACAAAGAATCTTTAGAGCAGCAGTAAGGAGTCATTATATCTACATCACTTTAAGAAAACCGTCATCGACTTTAAAAAAAGGACCAATCACTTATCACATTTGTCGTAATAAGTGTGATGGTGATCTATCGCCTAACTCATATTCCGTCTGTAATTTTGTAAACGTTTCTCATTAGAGGTAGTGGTTCTTTGGATAATAGCTGGTTCAGTTTACCATATGCTTCTGATAGTACTTCATCTATGAAATTGGATGTCTCAGTTGCTAACTCAGTAGGTAAAATTCCAAGCACAAACACAAACGAGTACTTCAAAGCCTGGTGGCAAATGTTTTCTAAAACGAACTATACCTGAATTTGTACAAACAATATACGTGGACAACTCTTAGTGAAAAGCGGAACATTCATGGAATTTAGGGTATTTAACTCCGTTAAATCACTTAATTCGACCACTTCAAGTTTTCTGATTAACATGGTCACAATCAAACGAGTAAATCCCATCAACGATGCCCTCTCGATTAATATATATACACACACAAAATATGTTACTAATATTCTGTTCAAAAAAAACATCCATTGATGCTAAGTATGTGTACAATGATATTCCATTAAAAATTCACGTGGAAAAAAAAGAAAACCAACAGTTAGAAACAATACCAATGACTTACAGCCTTTTGTGATGGTTTAAAATTCCATTTCATTAACGAATGTGTATCAGCAGCGAAATGTACAGTATATTCACGGTCTCTAACTGGTTTCATAGTTTTAATTTTCTCACTTTTTGCCAATGCCAAATTCGCATTTGTACCAGCCCCTACTTTCTATATAGAATAAAATAAAACAAAGACATTACTGAAAAAAATGGTAAAAATGATGAAGTAATCATCGTTATACATTAACTTGCTCAGTTATGAGAAAGTATTCAGCAATGTGAATAGAAAACCTTATGGAATCATCTTCAACACCAAAAAGTACCTGGGAAGACCACCATAGACATTCGGAGCTCATAAAAGGAGTTGAATCGCAAAATTGTGCATGGAGGAAAGCTCACAAATGCACTTCAAGTGAAGAATGATGTTATATAAGGCCGCCTACTCCCATCCTTCCTTTTTCTTCTGGTTGTTGACTGGATTATGAAAACCTCCAAACCTAAGGAGAAACATGGAATACAGTAGACACCTTGGACACAACTAGATGATTTGAACTTTACAAATGAATTAAACCTATCCCATACACAGCATAAAATGCATTCGATAACACCCAGTGTGGCATTGGCTTCCACAGAGATAGGCTTTAACACTCACAAGCGAACTTTTAAGGTCCTGAAATACAAAACAATGAACACCAACCAAATCACACTTGATGGCGAAGCTCTGGAAGAAGTGAGATCTCTTACGTACCTAAGCAGTATCATTGATAAACAAGGAGGATTTAATCCAGGCGTCAAAGAATGAATTGTCAAAGGGCAGCATTCGTACAACTGAAGAATATCTCGAACTTAAAATAACTCTTTATCAACCAAGACCAAGTTCGAAATTTTCAAAATAAATGTTAAGACTGCTCTACTATACGGAGCTTGAACTTAAAGTACTGCTAAAACCATCATCAAAAAGGTACAGGTATTTATAAACAGTTGGCTACGTAAGATACTCCAGATTAATTCGACAGACACCGGCAGCAATAATCTACTCTTGCAGAGAACAAACCAGCTACCAACTGAAGAGGAGATCAGAAAAAGATGCTGAAGGTGAATAGGGCACAAATTGCGGGAATCATAAAACTGCAACACAAACCAAGCCCTAACTTGGAATCCTCAAAGTGAAAAGAATAGAGACAGATCAAAGAACACATCTGGCCGGAAATCGGAGGAAGACATCAAGAGAATGGGTAGCACTTGGCAACAAATGAAAAGGAGAACTTAGAAAAAAGTTGATCGGAGGGTCCTGGTCGGCCGCTTATATCCCAAGAGGAGTAACAGACTTAAATATGAGACTCCACAGCAGCATGCACTTGTGACCCTACTATCAATCGAACATGTGACCTTTATGTCTTTCACTGAGCACTTAATCGTTACACAATTAGGTTAACATCTAATGATTTACATACATAACTTCAATCAGTTTGAGACATCGATCTACCACTAGTGCTATTGGCAAGTAACTTGCTTTACACTAACTTGATTAAACTCGACTGATCACGACTTTCGACAAGAACTCAGGGAATCACCTCGCGAAACTAGTCTATAGTGAGTACGTCATGTGCCTCTACTACGAAGAATAAAGTTTGGATTCGGGTGGAGAAAAACAAACGTACGCATAACTAATCGACTTTTCTTAATTGTATTCGGAATGTGACCAGCAATCGAATACAGAAAGCGCATTTCGCCTACTGCCAGCCATAATCCACATATACTAGAAAAATTAACATTGAGGCATCCACTCAGGATGTCAAAGACTGACTACATTTCAATACTGAACACCAACAACGTGATCCACAAACCCTTATGAAGTATCATTTGTCGATAGGTTACTGATATGGCTACTAACGAACTACACCTGTTTTCCAAATATGGTATGGAAATTCTGACCTAACAGAATGAAATTTAGTTGGATAAACTAAATGACCTTGACGATGCTGATAAACAAACGCCTAAGACATTTTGAGTAGTGATTGGTAAATCCTAAGTATTTTCATACATGATAGCACTTTATTTAGTAGTTAGAAATAGTCGATAGGATACCCTGCTTGACCCATGTTGCGCTGGCTGACAATTGTCAACAAAGCGTAACTGTAATCTCAAGGGAAATGGTGCTCCGTGTAGGATTCAAAACAGTGTCACTCAGTTTTGCAGTATAAGACGTTATCACTGAGCTATCTGGGCCGGGACTGACCCCTGTATGGCTGAGATATTCGCAAGTGATTAATCAATGAGTAGTAACCAATATCACGTTTATCTAATCCTTTAAGTGCTGATCGAATTCAATTGATTAAGTTTCAATGTGCCCACTACTCTAAGTGCCTTAGTATCGCGCCTATTATGTCGAGATATCAGGTGATGGTGGTAGTAGTAAACAAGAATAAATTAATACTTAATAAATAAATTTATAATATATTCTAAGATAAATTATCTTTGCTAAATATAGATTTTAACTGTGTCTATGCTTACGAATAGATATTTATCTTACATCATAAAATTTATTACAAAAAGAAACTAAGAAACAAATCTAATCCACTTACACTACAATATAATCGATATAATGGAACAGTACCATATCCGACACCAGCCATAAATATACCAAACGATAATGTATAGTATAAGTACGTGCGTTTTTTGAAATTATCACGAGTAATGAATGGACTACTTTTATTAATCGTACTATAATTTACTATTAACTTTGAGAATGGACATCTTAAAAGATGATTTGAACTCTTGGAAAAACTAAAGGACGATAGCAATACCATTATGAAATTGACAATCTATTGTGATTTTGTTCTTATTCGAAAAATATTGCTGTTTTTATTTATAGTGATAATCACTTCTAAACTAGAAACTATGTTGTCAGAAAAAAACAAGAGAATACAACAAAAAAGAGAGATCAAATAAAAATTCTACAAATTACAGTAAGGCATAAATCAAATGAAATAATGCAAGAAAAGACATACGAGGAAAGATTATACACTATAAATGATGATGGTGAAAAGATATGTAAATTAGTTAATATATTCACCAAATACTTGAGTATGAGCTTCAACTTAAGTGTGATCAGGGCTAATGATCCTACCCAGTTGCTCAAACTGAAGTAGGTGGGACGAGATTCGGACCTAGAACTTAATGACTGAAAGTTGAACCCTTTAACTATTAAGTCACCGCTCTACGTAAGTGATTATACAGCTGTTTCATAAGTTATATTCATACACAACTCTGTACTTAATGTTTGCTTTCAAAGATAACAAGGAAAGTCAAAACAAATTGCAATCAAATATATTAAAACGAATTTCAGGACTACGGTGGTTGAAAGTAGTGTTATTCTTAAGTTCTCTGGTACGGCCAAGGGTGGACAATATTCGGTCACCCACTTGAAATGCTCTCAAACGACCGGGCGATTACAGCCCCAGCTATGCAAGTCCTATTCACTAGCTTTACATGAAGAGGTTGTTGTTCTCACAGAAGCGAGAAGACGAAAAACGAACGTCCGGAGCTTGAATTGGATTAGTGAATACGGAGAATCTATATAGGGGAGCTGTAAAACCTTGATTCTGAACTAGTGGATTTACATGGGGTCCAATTTCCTGAGGGAATAGCTGGTCACCAACTACCATGGTACAGCATCTCCTGATGTCATTTCACTGAATGGTAGATTAAACCTCCAGGTTAAAGACGTGGGCAGTATTTTATTAAAAAAACAATCTTCTAAGGTCTGAAAGCCCGTGCAGTATTCCAATCCACTTATTCATTTATTTATTCACTATATATCTAAACACGAAAATTGGTACAAAGGGGCACCAAATATATATGCGCCACATAAATCACTCGATTTGTGTGAGGACTGGAATACTACCCGGGTGCCTAAACCGAGGTAGTTGGTATTCTTAGGGAGCTACACCCCGAGCCCGGGCCTTTGATATAGAGGTCTAACCCATAAGGCAGTGGGTCAACGTTAAGAGATCCAGTCCCATGGTAGCCTGTGACCAACGATTGGTTCATACACCATTTGTTCCCCCAGGATCCTGGAGCCCATGTGCACCACTGGTTTGAAGTCATCGATTTCCTGCTCCCCTAGGTGGATCTTCTGTATCCGCCAACCCAAATAAAGTGCTTTTCGTCCCCTCAATTTCATAAACAACCCCGTCGCGAGAAGGCAGTGAGTAGGACTTCCGTGACAGTGACTGTATACACGTGGCCATATGAGGTCATTTCAAGAGGAAGAGCGGACTATCCCTAGCCTGGGCTCCATCAGGGCATTTGGGAACAACTAAAAATCCCAAGGAAAATTGATTAAAAAGGATTATTTTGATTGAAGAATTGGGTTATAAACGCCTATGTTAACTTGATAAATATCGCATAGTTCTTTCGATAGTTAGGTTATAACTAACATCACTATCATAATCAATTTTAAACAAAACCATGCAAAAAGAGGAAGAATGTATTTGTAAAATCTCAGCAAAAGAATTTGAAGTAAATCCAACGTTTCGCCTCGGCGCCCAAATATTGTGAAACTATTCGTTCAAATTTAGACGAAAGTTGTTATTTAAAATCATCTAAGGGAGTTAATTTGCTTTGTTTACCAGTTATACCTTGATTGAAATAATTTTTAAATAGAGAATCATACTAAGACACAAATGCACCCTTATATTTAACTTGAATTATGTTTCATTGTTAAAATGTTACAAATGATTAGAAAGGTTAGTGTTAACCTTTGAAAAGTAAATTCACCAAACATGTATCACTGGATAACCAGAAACATCAAAAGTACAGGCGTCGTAAACCATTTATAACTAAAATAGTCTAAAGACAAAACAAATAGAACACAGAAACAAGTACTCACCCTTTTACCACAGTTATAAACATTCTGTCGATCTGGAGCTAATGTTTAATTACTTAACCTTAAGCCGAAACAATGCTGATGTAATAGTGTGAAGTTCGATGAAGGGAAAAGCCGTTTCTTCTTCAGACTGATAACTGGTACTTAATAACAGATTGTATATGCAGTTCAGCTCGGTTTGACTACCTTTCAATACAAATCTATTCAGAAACAACAAATGAACGTACGTAAAACTCAATAGAAGTAAGAAACAAATGAGCATATGTGGATTTATTAAATTAAAAACAATGTCTCGATATCTTGATTTATATGAATCCTAATTGCATTGAAATAACGTCAACAGAATAGCACTCACCAATTTTTAATCAACAACTTATTATATGAAGCTAGTTTACAAAGGTTGTAAGGTGATGATGACATAATCAAAAAAGATGGCTGACTGATTGAATAATATCTTTGGTGTTTTGCATAACAGACTTAGAAATAAAACGCAATGGTTAAAAGTTAGATGATGAGAACTCTTATCTAAAGCTCTATTTCCAACTACAAACTAATGTGACAACCTGGGCTAACAAATACATAGTTTTCCCAAGTTCTATGTTAATTCTAAATGATTAGGTGATATATTCCAATCTGATATCTACGATGGGATATTATAGATATAAGTAGGAGTGATAATTTAAAAAACAGTGCAGTCAGACCGAGAAATAACTCAAAACCAATTCACTAAGTGTTAGTTCAAGTTGTATTTGAGACTAAACGTTTATATTGAAGTCTAGAACAGTAAAAACAAGACACAATTAAATTCAATGACGCAGATACATTTATTTCCCCCACTTTATAAATCTATAATACGTTTCAAAACTGTTTGGTTCTTTTCTACTCATATTCTTCTTATCATAGTGAATTCAGATCTGAGATTCGTATTTTGAAACAAAAAATTCCGCTTCAAAACTGTTTTACATTGACATCTTTCTCATGCTAATGGCACCTGTTACGTAACTATTCGGGAACACGAACTTCCAGAGTATTCACAATACCTTGTCAAGAGGGAATCGGAGCACAGATATATCAGTCTAGTAGAGGCATTTTGCGATGCAACAGTGCAAAATACACCACATTTGCGGATGATAATTGACAAATAGTCAAACGTAGTCTGGGTAACCTGTATTTAATGATAGTGAAAAGGTATTATTTTAAATATTTAAGGTCAGAATCTTTCTTTAGATAACCGATTGAAATCACAAATGTATATCCTTTTTTAAATTTCTCTTTAGATTTTCACCGATCGCAAAATTAAATAGGGACGGTGAGGATAACCAACCTTGTCTAACTTCACTATTGCCTCAGAACAATAAAAAGAAGTGATTGCACGTCCTCGCTTTAAAAACAAAGTCCTTATATGACAAACTATCCCTGAGTAGTCCTGTTTAATTAACTCAAAACCGCCTCATTTCAAGAAATACGATTGTTGGTCCTTGATACGCGTGTCGTGACTAATAGATTCATGACCCTAAAACTGGGCCTACATCTTCAGAGTTACTTCTACACGTTTTGTATAATATGTACAGAGCAGTAAAAAATGACATTTAAGATGTAATTGGTAGCACTCTTGTATCCGATGGGTATGATAATTCCTGTATTCAAAACTGTATACCTCTGCAAACAATCAATTCAGTTACCTGACCAGAACATAGTCCCTACATTTTTAAACGTATGGTAGTAGTCATCTGACCAGTGTTTTGGTGGTTGGAGTTATTTCTGAATGACTGCGTTGTTAGGTGACTGGTGCTCACTAAACAAGAGCCACAGTACGGTTTGGCTGAAGTTGCTAGGTTAGTGCTTTGAAAGTTTCACTATTATTAGACGTAAGAGCAAAAAGTTACGAGGTAGTTCTTTATGTATATAAATACCTTAATACACTTGCGGCAGTAGGCTTTGTCGCTTTGTAGATGAATACATCACAGCAACTTTAAGGTTATATTCAGATCACCGTTTTCATTGCTGACTTTTAGCACAACAACCACTCCCTTTGCTTCGGTCACCTAAAGAACAATCAAGTTTTATTTATAAGACTATTTCCCAATGGTTTGATGACGGTAAGTTCCCCCTTCTTACAGATCTTAATATCACTTTTAAAAATCTATGAGTGATAGTCGGCATTGTTGTCAATCCTTTTATTGAGTCCATTTAAACATTCGTGTGTAAACCCTGAGAGTTATCCACTAAATGCTCTTGATAGAAACACTAACTTGTTTTAAGCTACGCTAATACTAAATCTACAGTTTATTCATCTAACTTTTAACTCAGTGTGTGACCTATTTCTACCCCAATATTTGCATCAATAGAATGAAATATAACTTTTTTGTGAGTTAAAAGTGCTTTCTACGGAGGCTAATGAGGTCGCAATGATATTTACATCTCTTTGATGAAAAAGAGAAACACAATTTTCAACTTGTTTTGAATGACTATTTTCGCCAATTGACTCCTAAAGTCAAATAATGATGTGTTTATATATACTCAAACCGGTTTGACTTTTAAATCAATCTAATTCAAGAGTGGTGAGAAGGTTTGGAAAAATTTATTTGAACTAGCAGTTTTTTCCGTTTTATTTCATTGCCTATGAACAGGTGTGAGGCCCACATACATCGCGTAGTACTACTGATCACAAATATTAAACTGCATTCTAAGTGTAACTATGAAGACATGGATAAATCGCTCATACAGATGAGCAGAATGAACCTTTACACAAGCGACAAATCTGAAAACTGTAGACTTTAGAATTGAGCACGATGTGGGAAAACGATAACAAAAAAGATCTTCAAAAGGTTATTAAAAAACTAAGGACACCAAAACCAAGAATTGCCAATATAGCTTACATTAACCAAAGTTAAACTACGCTGAACCCCACCAAATAGA